GCACCCACGTGCCCGTGTAGGCACCAGCGTGCGGGTAAGCACACAGGCTCAGACACATATGTGCAGACTGCTCGTAGACGCTGGCGCACCAAATCACTCTGGGCTGAGACGTACACACGCTCAGAGCCTTGCATGCACACACACAGTGTTTGATCACAGGTGGTGAATGATCGACATACAAACAGACCCCCCCCCCAGTGCCCACAGCCACCCTCCAAACAGGGTCGTTCACCACGGGCACACAAAGGATGCACCCAGAGCCCCAAGAGGTATTCAAGAATAGTAAGATACACCATGTACACGCTAAGGGCACGCGTCACCTCCCCAAGGTGCTCTCCTGCTCCCAGAACAAGCCCCCCACTCCTCCAACCCCTCCCTCCCATGCCTGCTGCTCCTCCCCTAGCTTCAACACTCCCTTCACTGTGTGTCCCCTGAGGACAAAGCCCTTCCTGGGACGTTTTTGTACAGGACCCACTTCTCACTCAGGGTGCCCCCAAGTGGGGTTCCCCCAAACTTTGGGAGGTCTCTAGGAAGCACTTGTGATGGCCCCAGAGGTAAGTCAGAGAGACTCTTGCCTTCATCTGGATGCCACCTCCACCTTTGCACCTGCTACCAGCTTGCTTGGGGTGGGGAGCAGAGAGAAAGACAGAGGGGACAGAGGCAAATGGAGGGCGCTGAAGGAAGAATGGCAGAGTGAGGAGGACAGGTGGGTAAGGAAAGGGCAAAAGGAAAGGGCAGTGAAGTGAGAGAGGGGGGCTGAAAGAGAAGGGGACAAGAAGAGCGGGAGAGAGCAGGCTGCTTATTGACTCTAAATTCCACTTCGGAGCAAAACCAGTCACCACGAGCCCCAGAGCCACACATGCTGCCCCCAGCTCCTGGATGCAGTCTAGACCAGAGGCAGCTCCCCATCACTGCTGTCGTTCTTCCACCCTCCTTCCACCCTCGCTAGACACCAGGGCAGGATCCGGCCTCCAGCCCTACAGCAGGGAAGAACGAGGTTCTCAGAGGCCCCCAAGAGGCAGCAAGTGGTCCTGGTCCCACGAGGAAGGAGAGACTGCAGGCTGGACAGCTGGACTGGGGCTCCCAGAGGCCTTGTCCTCCTGCCCTCACCACCCCATTCTTGTGCTCTGGAATACAGACTGACAGGGCTCTGAGCAGGCAGAAAATTTATGGTCCCAGAGGGAGGAGGGAGGAGCTGTGGCGAGAGGAGAGGAAGGGAAGCCGCCTAGAGGCCAATCAATATGTGAGTGGGAACTGGAGAGAGCTGGAGGGGCTGTGCTGGGTGGGGGGATACAGAGGGGAAAAGGGAGACAGAGGTGTGCAGGGGATCAATAGAGGCTGCAGAGATGAACAGAGACAGGGAGGCAGAGATGGGGAGGAACCGACCTCCTGGGAGAGGCAGGAGACGTCCCTGAAAGACTGAGCAGCCAACAGGCCCACTGGAAGCTTCTGGGCCCCAAGATCCCAAACCCCAGCCTCGGAGCCAAAGGTCAGGAAATGCCCCTCTTTTTCTCTCTCCTCTCTCTCTCATCCCATGTTCCTTTTCATTCTCCACTTGGCTCCTTGTCATCACAGAGATGGGTTCTCGCCCTCTCATCTTTTCTCTCCCGTCTTCCCCAAGCAGAGACTTCTGAGCCTTGAAGGAACACAGTGGTCCCTTTACTCCCAGGTAGTCCCCACGTCACAGATGGAGAAGCTGAGGCAGTGAATGGAGTCGGACTGCTCTGAAGGTCGGACCGCTCCTCGTCCCTGTCTTCCCCACTAGGCAGCTCCATACCCCAATCCGAATCCTCAGAGGACCGGTGCTGCTCCTCCCCACTCGGCCATTCCTACCCTCTCCTCTCTTCAGGCCCAGGCCTCCCATGCCCCCACTAACTGGGCTAACGCAGCTGACTTCTCTGCCACGTTCTTTCATGACCCAAGAAGACCAAGCATAGAGAGAGAGCATTCAAAACAAACCAAAACAGCAGAGACAAGCTCTAGAGAAGGAGCAGCCCTAGGAGGCTACAGCTTGAAAAGCCCTGTGGGAGACCCCCCCACCCCACTCCCAGAGTCCCGCCCTGATCTCAGGGGCAGAGATCTCAGAAGTACCCCAGGGCTGGCACTTGGAGGAACGGCTCGCTGAGCTCCATGCGGGCTCCCAGGTTGTACCCACCTTGTCTTTAGCTCCACAGCTTTGCTCAGGTTACGCCGCCACCACCACCAGACACACAGACCACTGCTTAGGGATGGTGACTTCCCAGGTAAGCCCCTTTCCTGTCCCCAACTCTCCCTGCCTCCCACCAGTCTGGAACCCAGAGGAGGTGCTCTTCCTACCCCTGCTGATAGTGTCGCAATGCCCTAATGCCTGCCCCCCACACCTCATCCATCCCTGTGCCCCTTGCCAGAAGGCTCCACTGGGTGGGAGCAAAAGGCAGGTGATGGGCAATAGTGCGTCTCTATCCTGACTCCCTCCATCCTGTGCAAAACAACAGCCATAGGCACCGCCACCACCACCACCCCTGGAACTAAATGAGCAGCGGGAGGTCACAGAGTCCAGAGCACCTAGGTTCTAGCTGAGCTCTGCCACAGACCCCCTGTGACTCGATCCGTGGTCGGGTTTCCTCATCAGTTAAACAGAAGGGATGGTGTTCATACCACTGCCTTCTCTGAGGACCGGATTTCGGGCTTTGTAAGCCGCAAATCACTAGACCATCAGTAGAGAGCGTTACTATCAAGAACAAGGTTACCATCATCTCCCGATCAGTGCAAAGCTGAGTTACCTGGAGGGGAAGAGGCTCAGCCTCCGCCCCATCTTTATACCACGGCAGCCAGGGCTGAAGTACCCGTAGCTGGCCAGCGTCTGGGACACTTTGGAAGGCACAGAGGCAGGATGAGGAAAGTCCTGGGGGACAAGGTGAGGATATGGTGGTACCGCAGGGCCGGCCATGCCTGAGAACACCAGGAAAGCGCTGAGGAAGATGAGCTGGACTTTTTTTATAGGGATGGAAAAGCCAGCACCCACCTAAGAACCCCAGTCCCTGGAACCAGTATGTTTTCTCCGTAAGAAACTCAGGACTTGGGTCCAGCAGGTGGCATAGTGGTTAAGGTGCTGGATCCCCACATGGCCAACTGCAGTTCAAGTCCTGGACCTGGCAGCTTGAAACTCATGCCGGGTGTGTGTGCATGCATGCCCAGAATCCTGAGAGGAGAATGGAAGAGAAGGGGTTGTGGCATGGCTATCCCCCCGGGGGGTGATTGCTCAGTCTTTCTGTTTATCCAGTGAGCACATGTACCCTGTATGAAAAATCTCTCAGGACCAGCAGATGGTGTAATGTTTATATTGCTGGACTCCCACAAAGTCGACCACGGTTCGAGTCCGGGACCCGGTGGCTTAAAACTCATGCCAGGTGCTTGTGTGTGTGTGTGCCCAAGAGCCCAAGAGGATAATGGAGGAGAAGGGATTGCAACGTGGCCATCCTGCCTGGGGGAGGGAGGTTGGGGGGTGATTTTTCGCTTTCTATCTCCCTGTCTCTCATGAGCACACGTGCCTTATAGCAAAACTATCTCAAAATTATAAAGACAGAAACTCAGTACTCACACCCCAACGAGGAAGGTCCAGCAGTGTAAGGGGAGGCTAAAGCACTCACCCGAGTTCTCATCCGAGATCTGCTGTTACCTCAAGAAATCTACTGTCCCTGGGCCCAGCAGCTAGCGTAATGGCCATGTCACTGGACTCCCAAGTAGTCAACTGTGGTTTGAGTCCTGGACCCAGTGGCTTAAAACTCACGCCGGGCGCGTGTGCGTGTGTGCCCAAGATCCCAAGAGGAGAAGGGAGGAGAAGGGATTGCAGCGTGACCATCTCCCCTGGGGGGTGATTTCTCTCTTTCTGTCTCTCTGTCTCTCTCTGTCTGCCTGGCGAGCACGTGTGCCCTGTAGCAAAAACCTCTCCAAAAAAAGAAATCTACTGTCCCTCTCTGGGCCTCATTTCTGTGGTCGTAAAACAGGGAAGCACCGTCCTGTGTCTGCGCGTGTGGGTATGGATGTGTTTCCCCAGGCAGCTGACTTTCCTCCTGGGTCTCTGAGAAGGGCTATCCCAGGGAAGCAATGCCTGGGGAGGCTACACTGTGCTCAGCCTCCTGCTCTCAGCCCGATCACCAGAGGAAAATTCGAAGGCCACAAGCCACCCCCCAAAGCAGAAGGTTGCCTCTCCCCCAGTTCCTGTCCCAGCTGCCCTCCCTATACCAGGCTCTAACCAGTCACTGACCACAGAGACAGGAAACTTCTGCTAAAGCCACCCTGTCTGGGGAGGGCCTCAAATCATGTGCATGTTGGCAAGCAGATGCCCAGCCAGGGAGGGGGACCAAGCCATGACACTAGGGGGTGTCCTTGTGGCTCAAGGCGACAACCTGCAGTTTCGAGGAAGAAAGGAAACGGCAGGAGCTATGCCCAGGGCAACCAGCTGTCCAGTGGCCTGGCCTGGTAATCTCCTGGGCCTGCCCTCTGGGTGTGGGCCTGCCCTCTGGGTGTGGGCCTGCTCTGGGTGGGAAATCGTGGGGTCCCAATGCACACTGCCGGGGGCGCCAAAGGAAAGGGGGAACAGGTTGGTAACAGCCCCCCTCCCTCCCTGTGCAACAGAGTGTGTGTGTGAGGGGTAAGCCTAATACATGAGGCCACTGCCAACGTCACCCAGGACAGCAACGAGTTCACACCAGAGGCTGATGCCTTTGGTTGTGGGTGAAGAGAACCGTCCCACCAGCTCAGAGCCAGGAAGAGAGGCCACCTATCAATGGATGGCCGCCCAGGATCCAGGCAGCGGCAATCCTGCACAGCCCTAAAAAGAAATACCCAAGGGGACAGCATCCAACAGTCCCTTCAGACTCTCATGACAAGGGACGTGAAGGAAGCAAGCCACACAGCTCCTGGGCCGTTGGCGACCTTCCCTGACAGCCTGTGTTCATCTGGGAATGGGCCCGAAGCTCCCTCCCCCACCTCCACCTGTCGACCTCCCAGGCACTCACGGTCATTGCAGACAGGGCCTCCATAGGAAGTCATGGTACAGTCGCAGGTGAAGCCATCCCACTGCTGCAAGCAGACGCCCTGGTTGGCACAGGACTCTTCGGTGCAGGTGGTGCTGGGGCCTGGAAGGGGCAGGAGGAAGGAACACCCCCGACTCAGCTAAGCCCCCTCCCTCCCCAGGAGGTCTTGCTTTGAGCTCTGCCAGGCCAAAAAGGCCAAGCCCTGAGGGGCATGGGGGTGGGATGGGGAGCTCAAAGACTGTTAGGTTTGGCCTTGGACTGTGATAAGGGGCCAGGGTGAGAGGGAAGAGGGAGGTCAAGTGATCCTTCACCCATTTGTATCCCTGCTCCAGAGCTGGGTGGACAAGGCCTAAGAGGGCCCCTCAGCTGAGCAGAAGTGACCTGCCCCAGTCTGCCTCTGCAACTGGCCCTCCTGCAGCCAGCAGGGTCACACCTAACTCCACCCTTCACTCACCATCACAGCCCCTCTCCACCTGCCCGATGCGGTGCAGGGCGTCGGCGATGAGGTCTGGGAGGCGCCCGTTCAGATCCACTGAAGCCAGGCAGCCCTGGAAGCCATCCCGGGAAGCCACCAGCTTGGGCAGGTTGCTGAACATATTCTTGCTCAGACCACCAATGTACAACTCCCCTGCAAAGGGAGTGGGGTCAACGCCTGGGCATCCAGGTCCCCATTCCCCTCCCGGGATCCCCACATCGGACTGTCGGGTTCCCCAGCCCTTCCAGGGATATGGTATCCCATCCCAGCTCCAGGTCCCTTATACGATCCAGTGACCTGCAGAGCCCCACCTCCACCTCTTCCTTCTTCCTTCCCCACTTTGCCATCTGTCTGCCCCCCTCCCAGAGAAGCCCAGATGCCTGGAGGTGGGGGGAGGACAGCTGGAGGAACCTACTCCATGCTCTCTCCCACACATTTGATTCCAGTTCCGGCCTGTAATCAGGGCCTTTCATAGACGTGCAGCCCCGTCCCCTCCACCCCCACTCCCTCCCTCCTAAAATCTCCCACACCCAGAACTCCTTCAAGCCTCTCCCAACTTCTTTTTGAATTCTCCTAGGGAGTTCTAAGCCCAGCCCCCTTCCAACAATACCCAGGGCTTGACCTGGGGACTCTGGAAAGAAGCTCTCCTCAGGGATAGCTGATCCCCCCCAGGGAGCCCAGACTCCCCAGAAGCCTTGCCAGCTCCTAACAGAGCTTCAGCCAAGCCAATCTGCTGTCCTGGCCGCAGACTCAATGCAAGACAAGATCAGCCAAGATAGCCCCTGGCTTTGCTGCTATTTCCCATTCTCGGGGACACATCGCCCTCTTCTGGGAGCAAAGGGGTTTGCAGCACCATGCCTCCAGATCTGGCCGATGCAGGATCTGAGCAGCAGGTGAATTCAATGGTCTTGGAGAATCCTCCCCAAGCTCTAACAGTTTGAGTCACACTGACACCCAGGGTCCTTATGGAGCTGAGGGCTCCTTTGGGCATGTGTAAAGAGGTAGCTCACGTTGCCCCAGTGGGTGCCAGAGAAGCTGCAGCCCTCCTATGCCCAAGCCCAGGCCTCTCAACCAGTCCTCCTGGCTCTGTCCATCTCCCATTCTAGGGCAGACAGCGGCCGCTTCAAGGACTGCTGAAGAGGCCCTGGGAAATGTGAGACCCTGGTGCGACCACAGGTCCAACAAGTCCCCAGAGGTAGCCTAATCGGTGCCTAAGATACGTAATTAGGGGACCCCAGTTACAGCTACACACTCCTCCCCTCATCTTCCCACCAAGCTTGGCACCTGCTAGGATGCTAAGTTCCCTGTTCCCTCACCAGCCCTCAACCAAGGCAAGTTTCTCAACTCTGGGGGTCCAAGAGTCCTTGGAAGGCTTAGGCTACCTATTCCTAGCCGTAGAAGGAGGCCACCAGGTCCCTGTGAGACACATCCCGCAGACAGCTTTCCATATGGAAAGGCACTCGAGGAACTGAGCAGAACTTTGGCAGGACAATGTCAGGCCAGACACAGTGGAGGGTGAGAAAGAGAGATGGAAACTCAGGGCAGGGGGAAGAGAGAGAATCACAAGAGTGAAGTGCGATCCTGTGAGGTAAGGGGGTGTCTGGGCCAGGGCCAGGCATGCTCCAGAGGCCCCAGCCCCACCTTTGAGATCGAGGTTTCGGGCGCCATTGGAGTGCTGCGTGACGGTGCGGGAGTCGATCTTGAGCGTGTGCACGTTGCCTGGGTCCCTGGATACCACCACATTGTGCCACTGGTTGTCATTGACTGGCTTGTCTGAGTTCCCCTTCATCAAGGACGGGCCATTCCCCAGGTCAAACACGTAGTGGATGTACCTGCCCCGCGGTAAGGAGGAGACGCTGGGTCAGGGCAGGGTCACACTGGGAAGGTGGGGTAAGGAGGAGCTACGGCCGATGAGGGTTCTAGGTGCCATGGAAAAGCACTCCATAGAGAAGGACTCGAACAAATGGCAAGAGGGCTATGAAGTGAGGTTCTGTCACGTGGCAAGGGAGGGCCTCTGAGAAGCTGGACCCTAAAACAGGCTCAGCAGAGAAGCTTGTGGAAGGGAGAGGTTTGAAGGGCAGCAGGTCCTCTGGAGGCAGCAACCAAGCTGCTCTGGTGGAGGTCCTCTGACTCACAAAGAGGGCAAGGCTAACTTCTGCCTGTAGAGGACAGAGGGCCAGGCCAGGACAGCGGAGCTGACTGGGAACCCCTAGCTGGGGACCTAGCAGAGTAGAAGGGTTTTTCTCCACCTTGGTGGAGGAAGGAGCCTCTCAGCTGTAAGGGGGCACCCTTGATGTCTGCCCTGTGCTTTAGGAAGACTGGGTCTCTCAGCAGTGGCTAGAGGAGCTGTATCAAGGTCAACGGGGAAGGGAGCCACTTCCTGGACGGTGGTGCAACGCCAGCCCCTCACCCCTTGACCAGCTCGATGACAATGAAGTCATTGCCGTTGCCCGAGTTGAACAGGAGAAGCCCGTCAGGGGCCGTGGTCTTGAACTGGAAGAAGAGGTGCATAGAGGCATAGGCTTGGAGTGTGGCGAGTGCCAGGTAGCTGCTGCGACTCTTGAAAGTGACAGGATCGGCCACAATGGCACGCAGGCCAAAGCGGGCGTTGAGCTCGCAATAGGTGATGTCGCCGTCCTTGCACTGATCCATGTAGGGCTGGCCGTTGAACAGCAGCCCGCTCAGGTGCCCGATGAAGTTGGAGGGCACCACGGAGATGAAGCGCCGCTCCGTCATGATACCCGTCTCGATGTTGTGCAGCTCCAGCCGCGTATGCGCTCCCGCCATCTGTCCTGCTCAGACAGGAGAGCGAGGTGAGGGGGGTCAGGCTTTGTGGTTCGGCCTGCATGGTCATTTCTGGGCTGGGCCTCGGGTTCCCAGGAGCTGCCCTCCACATGAGGATCGCCCATGGGCGACATCAGCTGAGATGCCCTCAGCTAGGCACAAAAGGCAAGCAAGTGATGGGACACCTTAGTCAAGGGCTGGCAAGCTTCCAAGGAAATGCTGCCTGCAGGGAGCTGGAGGGGTCCTTGGGGCCCAGACCCCCCTGGAAGCACCCCACTGAGAGATGGCAGAGGCAGCTTGCCAGAAGGCTCTAGGAACAGTAGCTCAGGGTGTGGTCATCAAGGAGGCCAAGCGTAGGTCACTAAGATGCGCCCACCTCCCTGGGCCCAGGCCACCTACCCTCCACGGTCACGTTGTCCACAGACAGCTGCAGGCTCTTGCCACGCCGCACCACCCTCACTGTGTGCCACTCATTGTCATTGAGCTTGTGCCCCGCAAACAGCGTCTCGGGGCCTTTACCTGCGGCACCAAGGGGGGAGTGAGCGTGGCGCCTAGACACCCTCACAGATGGCTGTAGGTACCACCCCCAGTACACGCGTGTGCACGCATTTACACACACGAGCTCTGCCACTCACAAGCACACACACTCATGGCCTTACCTCGCACCCCGAGTACATGCACACACAGAGACTTCACACACACACGCACACACACACACACATCGTCATAAACCCTGGCGTGCCCGGCACTGCCACTCTGCCTGACTGCAGCCGGTGTTGGCTGGAGTAAGTGGGCGGTGCCTCCGGGACTGTGCCCTGAGCCCTGCACACTGACACGCCTATAGCCAGATTCCTCTCCCCTCAGACTCCTAGGGACCGTCAATGTGTGTGGCCAGCAGCTAGATCCCAGCATTATCAGCACACACCTAAAACTGTCAAAACTTCACACAGCCTTACCATGCACCCAAATGTACATGTGCACTCCAGCTTCCTTCCCCACAGGCAAGCAGCTCCCCCCTTTGCAGTGGGACCCACTGTGAGCTTTCTGCACGCCCCTGGCTAGTTCTTAAGAACTATGACTATTTATTCAAGACCAGGATCACCAGCTTCCCGAGTCTAAAATAAAACATACTTATCTTTAAAAATGTTGCTGGACTTTGCAGCATTGCCAGGTCATCCCCGGGCCCCGGAGCTCACTCCAGCTGGGACAGCGTACACACTTCACACCACACACACGTAACCAAAGGGGGCTGAGCACACGCAGTGTCCACCTGGGCCTGCCACGTCGTGCACCTCCCCGGGTGACTTCAAGGCACGCCATGCGGAAACACTCTCTCGGAGACAGAACATGGAGCCCAGGCACACTGGGATGCGCGGAGACGTTCACACCCACTCTCCACCTGACCCCTGTGGAGAGCTCCCTGTCACCCCTGAAAGAGCTCCCAGGGCAGAAACGCCCCCAGCCTCCAGCTGACATGGAGCTGTGGAGAGAAGAGCTCAGAACTTGCTCCAGTCCCGCCCTCATCTTCTTTTCTGCGGGCCTCACCTTCCCCCTTGTGGACACTTCTGGAGATGCAGCGGCAGATCC